ATATATATATATATATATATATATATATATATATATATATATATATATATATATATATATATATATATATATATATATATATATATATATATATATATATATATATATATATATATATATATATATATATATATATATATATATATATATATATATATATATATATATATATATATATATATATATATATATATATATGCACATCGAGAGCGCAAAAATATTATCAATGTTGCACACGTAGTCATTATTAATTATTTAATTTAATCAATTTTTTTTAAATATATCGGAATTAATGTAATAATAATTAGGTGAACCGAGCAGCTCCTCCGGCTGCACCGAGGAGGCACAATTATATTGGAGACGAAGATAAAGTCTGCAATGCATGTGGAATTACGACTACTCCTCTCTGGCGGAAAGGCCCCGATGGTCCCCAAGTAAGTTTTTTCTCTTCCGATTTTCGATTTTCGTGTTCGTATTCGTATTTTTTTGTAATACAAAATTTATATACAATTTTTTTAAATATTATAAATTAAATTATAACATTTTTATTTGTTGTGCAGACTCTGTGCAATGCGTGTGGGTTAAAGCACGCCAGAGCAGCTGCGAGAAGGGGTGCTCAGTAAAAGGAAAATGTTAATTTGATTCTCTCTTGAAACTTTTATTTGATTTAGTTTAATTAGTCGATATATTAATGTTTGTATCATGTTATATATTTTGGATAATTTTTATTGACTTTTGGGATTAATTATCTCATTATATATTGATTGATAGAAATAATTAAACTTTGTGGTTTGGGATTTCAAAACTATTTAATTGCATATATTTTAAAAACATAAGTACTGTACAAGAAATCATTCAAAAACTTCTCATTTATTTGCATTTTTTTATATATAATATGTAACAATCCAATTAACTACTAAGCTGAAAATAACCGTCTTCAAACTAACAATAATAAATCCAAAAAGAAAGTTGAAACAATAAATTGTATTTGACTTAAATTGTTAAATACAATTTAGTGAAATCTTCTAGATTATATGGAATATTCTCAATTTTGTACCCGTTTTATTCCATTCGAGCTCCACATTGTGAAGCTAGATGATCATAAGATGTGTTTTTTGGCTTGTATATATATCAGAATGTGGTGCATTAGAAACATTGTTTTATGCACAAAACGAGTACAAATTAGAGAACATTCCACGGAATCTAGATGATTATGTTAAATTTGACTCCATATGGGCGGAGATGTAAGAAGATTCATAGTTGAGGAGGTAGATGTAATTATCCAAACATGAGGGTTTTTTTTCATAATTTAACCATACCTCAGGGAGGTGATTGTAATTTACCCAAGATAAAAAAATATAAATATAAATTTGAATATCCCCATTTATTCTTGCACATACGTGTAGACGTAGGCCTATTGTTAACACCTATGCTGCACGGACACTTCTAGAAGGTGAAGAGTCCCCGTATCCGACACCTGGACACTCGGATACACCGGGACACTTCTCGGACACCCGTATCGGGCCGTGTCGTAATTTCGCTAAAAGTAGGACACCCGTGTCGGGCAGTGTCCACAATTTTAAAAAAGTTGGGACACTTCGCTTACGTTTTAAGAGAGAAGCCTAATAAAAAAATGCGCATTTTCTTTTCTCTTTAATACACATTTCCTCTGTTTTCTTTGTGAGCCCACCCAAAACTCAAAAGTCTAGTATGCGACGGCGACCAAGAACACGAGCAACAAGAGCGAGCAGTTCTCTTATGCGATGACGACTTATACATAATTTTTACAATTTTTAAATGTACCCCTATATTTTTATTATTTATAAATATATCCCTATATTTTTTATATTTATGCGTATCCCCCGCGTGTCCGTATCCTAGTTTTTTGGAAATGCCGTATCACCGTGTCCGTATCCGCGTATCGCCGTGTCCACGTATCCGTGTCCGTGCAGCATATGTTAACACTAATTTACCCTAAAAATTAAAAAGGCGTCCCTTAAAAAATATTTGCCTATCAAAAGTTTCCAAATAAAGACCAGCATTATAATTTGGTATAAATACACTAGATTTTGTTAATTACTTAATTATATTAAAATTACCAAATCTTAATCCTTTGTTACAATAAAACGACGACGCGTCAACCTACCTCCAAACCCTAATTTTCCAAATTAAAACGAGATTTATAATAGGTAAAAGCAGGGCTTCCCCAATTTTCCTATTTATACAAGAACCCATCACCTCATTGCCTATTCACAAATCAATCGATCAGAAAAAAAAAAAAAAAAAAGAAATTCTTTAATTTGTTCAGAAAAAAAAAATAAAAAAATCATATTTCGATGGCTGGAGATTCATCGGTTTGTTTGGCTACGGTTGAAAAAACAATCTCCATAATGAAGAATCTGAGCTTGGAGGAAGAAAGCAGCTGTACTAATATATATGCATGCAAAAGAAAGATGTCTGCAACTGATTATTATAATAATGAATATTTATTCGACGAAGATGAATCTTGTTCCGACAAGAAGATGATGATATCAGCAGAAGCCGAAGCAACCCTAAGCAATCAGTTTCGTCATCTGATGTTGAGGCGGCGGCCCGATCGAGACTGGCGGCAGCGGTTTTTTCCGCGACGAAAACGCGTCCGTCGCACCACCGTTGCTGTTACCATCCCACCGGTTTCGTAAAACAAATTTATATAGTCGTTGAGTCGATCGTCGAATATGTATTTCCCAATGGTAGTAAGTTGTATAAGTTTAACAAATTAATTACCATATTTTGGGGTTTTTATTAAGGATTTTGTGTTTTGGTTTATTGAATTTTTTTTATAGTTTTAATTTCTTGTTATATTGATCTTGTGTCTCTCTACTTTGAACTATCATTCATAATGTATATATATATATATATATATATATATATATATATATATATATATATATATATATATATCTTTCTCGACGAATAACTATGTATGGACATGGATGAAAATTGGATGGATCAGATCAAAATTAACTCAAAAAAAAAATCACTATTGTTTCGAAGATTTTGGAAGAATCATAAATATATGACTTTCAAAAATTGACATGAAAACACTTGTTCCAAAATTATAATTTTTTTCCTATAAGAATTGTGGGGATTTGAAAATTGCATGTTTATATATTAAATTAAAAAAATGGATTTGCAAAATTATTGAAATAGAAAGAAAACCGAAATTTGAAATAAAAAGTTATGCAAGTCAATCCAAAATTGAGGGGCTTTCAGCTAAATTCTTTAGTATATATAGGTTAAAACTACATACATGGGGTTTTGTAATTAATTATGTTGTAAGATGAAAACAAACTTGAGGGTTTTGTTAGTAATTATATATCGATACCCGAGGGGTTTCTGGTAATTCTCCTTTGGTAATCCACCATTAATTTTATTTTTATTTAACTTAAGGCATTAAAGGTTTATTTGGGGGGTAAATTAGTCTATTTGGGGGGTAATTTAATCCCAACGCAACCAATGAAGAAAAGAGTTTGGAAATAAAAATCATGAAATTGAAGTAATAAACAAATCATTGTTGAAGTAGTAGACACTCAGCGTCTTCTTCCTATTTAAACCATCATCCATCTCTCTCCTCATTACACAGACGAACCACATACAGAGAGAATCTAGAGATAGATAGATAGATAGATAAATATAAATCTAGAGAGAGAAACCAAAGCGATCAGATTCATAATATTTCCATGGCCAGGCAGCTGCGTGATGATCGAAAGGCGGCGGCCGGTTCCATCAACCCTGCAGCAGGTAAAATATTAGAGACGAATGAGAGAGAATCATCACCACCACCCGTTATTTCTTCCATCCCAAGTAATCATCCCGGTACTAATATAATAATTAATACCGACTCCATAATATTCACAAATTCTCTGAAACGAGACCGATTCGACGACGACGACGACGACAAGACCATCAAGAATATCCCCACCGGCGAACAACAACAACCGGTACCGCTTCCTCCAGATCAAGACGACGACGACATTACTCGACTTACTCTAGGGTGGTGGGGCCCACATACTCCGATGATCACCGAGACGACCACAGCCGCCGCCGCAGATAGTGACGACAATCAAGTACAAGGGCCGCCTCCTGATAACAACAACAACCCTTTTCTTGAACTGCGCATCGGACCTCCGATTCAACAACGACGAGTGTTTCCCGATGGTTACTGGGAGATACACTACCAAAAAACAAGGCTTTTGTAACAGAAATTTTGTGACAGGCTAAATCTGTCACAATGAATGACTGAATTAGTGACAAATTTGTGATCGATTCTTATAAAACCAATTTACAATTGCTTTTGACGCAATTGTTATGAATTATGTGACGAATTTTGTGACAATAAATATTCGGTCACATTTCGGTCACATAATTTGTAACAGAAATTTATTCCGTCATAGTATTTGTCATAATTTGTTTATGGATATGTAATTTAATTAGTATGAGTTACAAATCTGTCACAACATCTTTTTCGTCAAAAATATTTCACATGTAATTCTGTCACGAATACCGTCATATTCTAAGTTTTGTCATTGGTCCGTCACAACATCATTTTCATCACAAATGGGTCACAATTTTTTTTGTCACAACTCCATCACATTCTAAGTTATGTCATTGATCCATCATCACATCCTTTTTATCACAAACACGTCACATAAAATTCAGTCATAAATATGTCATATTCTTGAGTTGTGCCATTGATCCGTCACAACATCCTTCTCGTCACAAATGTGTCACGTATTATCCATTCACAATTCCGTCATATTTTAAATTCTTCATTAATCACTTACTAATATTTATTTAGTCATAGATCCATCACAATCTAAATTTCTTCATAGTTTATCACTACCTTTGTTCGCTATATATATCTCTTTAAAAATGTTATTTATTTACTCAAAAAAAGAAGAAGTTATTTACATGTTGGTTAAAATCCCAATTATGTCACTAACCGGCCCTATTTATTTTATATTTTGAAACCATAAAAAATAAAATAATAGGAAAAAAATATAGAATAATATAACAAATGCAACCTATTTATTATAATTTATTAACAATTTCAATTAATTTGATTTTCTTATAGAAATTATGTAAAATGGATAATTAGTCAATTTATTAAAATATTTCTTATAATGGCGTGCACAAAAACTGTATTTAAGCTAGTTACACTATTATTATATGTTATCCTTGTTTTGTTTTATTATTGAAAATCTATTATTTACAAATTTTAGTGTTATATCAATATATGTTGAAAATACCACATTTAATGTACACTAAATTATTAATTTGATTCTTGATTTATTATTAATATTATTATTACTTAAAACCACAATTTATTTTTTGAACATGAAAACTAATTCTAGCAAAAAATATTGGTCTGACCTTCTTATTTAATTTTTATATCTATATTTTTTTTAATTTTGTTTTTTATCAAACTGATGATAAAAGATATTGATAACAATTGAATTAAAAAAAAAAAAAAAACTAGTTAAAAGTTAATAAATTAATGATAATTTAGCATTAACTCCCCCACTACGGCGTCATAGTGAAACCCCACCCAAAACAAGCCATTTAGGTTTTTGAGTTTTGCACATCACAGGCACACACTCACGTTTTTTCTCCACTCATCGTCAAAGGGCAATGGCGGCAGCGGCATAAATCGGGGGTAAATGATTTATAATGTCGGGCAACAACACAAATGTGGTGGCGGAGAACCAGAATTGATTTGTACGATGAATCTACACCCATAAAGGCAGCGGCGAGCGATTGTCCTCGTCGGTACACTATCATTTGGGCATGAAGGTAAATTTCAGGATTAATTTATCAATATATATATGCGTAGCTTTTCTGTTTGACTTGTAAATTAATAGGTGGGTGAAAACCGAGTAGAATGTGATGGTTTGATACATATTGAGAAAATTATTGTGTATATTAGATGTATTTGACTTTATTGGTTAATTCAGCAAAAGTTTCGGTTCGGTGATTTTACAAAATTCTCTTGAATTTGGGCGTATGGGGCTATTTGTTAGCTATATCCCACCATTATTTTGAAATAAATCCTTGTAAATTGTAGATTATGACATTAGCCTGTGGTTGCTATCTGCAGAGGCATAAGAGATATGCATTATATTATATGTACTTTCTGAAACAATAAATGATGTTTGTAGGTAATTATAATTGGATGATGTGAATTCGAAACTATTGAATGTGTTTTAATTAGATGGACCCTGAGGTCCAAGACGTTTTAAGTCCTGCGCATAAGCAGAAGCTATGCAGCTTCTGTTTCGTCTCCCTCTTCACATATTGGGTACATTAACACCTACATGGGGACCACAGCTTATACTCATGAAGTTGTTCCAACATTAAAATGGTACTTGTATAATCAGGCCATTCTACAGGTTTTGGTTATGCTCTTGCTTGGAATAGTTGTTCCTTTTTTAATCAAAATATTTGTCTTCTATCTTAGAATACGATGGTTGGCTCTAATTGGCACATTTTATTTTTCAGATATTCGTTTTGGTAATTTAACTGTTTAATATTTTGGGTAATACCTCTTATTATTTCTGATCTTTGTTGATTTTTTGATGGCAGGATATTCAATACGGAAGCTTAACAGCTATAGTAACTGGTATACGGTATGTGATCGGGGGTAATTTTCTTTTGGTGTTCTTTCTCTTGGGGTTCTGCTTTATGTAAGAAAATTGGACTTAGTTTATTTGAAATTTCACCTTTTTGTGTTACATTGTCAGATGCAGTTTAGATTATTCGTGAAGATGCAGATGTGAGACTAGTGTTGGGCAGGGACCACGTGCTAAGATATAGTATGAAGTTGTCGAATTGTCAAATTGGAAAGATCGTCCAAGATGAACTGGTGGGGGTTGAGGGGATGAGAGGGAGAGAAATATAAACGACGATAACATGGCTTGCGGATGTTGGAGGTGATACAGGAAATAGTTTAGAGATTGGGTCTTTGTTATAAGATATTTATGGCTCGACATTTGTAGTATATTTTTACCATTAGATATATTAGCAAACTTTTGAAATATCACAACAGAGATAATGGTTTTGTCTTAATATACTTATATGAACATTTTATTGGTTTTGTTGTACATTTCTTTTGATACAGACAATTTGTGACAAAGTGTTTGTGACAGAGGATTGGTGACTAATTGTGACGCTCTCAGTGACACAAATATATAACGAAATCTTTCATTCATTGGTGATGAATTATTGACAACATGAATTGTTTATGATGGCATCCGTCACAGATTTTGGGAAAAATATTTTCATGTTTATTGACGGATTCATGACAACACAAACTATTTGTGACGGAATCCGTCACATAGTTTAGGGACGGGTTATTGACAGCACAAACTGTTTGTGACGGAATCCGTCACATAGTTTAGGGACGGATTATTGACTGCAAAAACTTGACTTTGACGGAATCCGTCACAATTTTAGGGAAAACATTTTGTTAGGTAGTGACAAATTATTGACAGAAAAATATTGCTTGTGACGGAATCCGTCATAGATTTTAGGTGTCTTCGATATGGTAATTTTGACGGAATTACTTTCATTTGTGACGAACGTTTCTGTGATAAACAGTGTGACGGAATTAAAATCTCCGTCACTAATTAAATTAGTGACGAGGGTGTTTCTGACAGACATATTCCGTCTCTATGCCGTCACTAAAGCTTAATAGTGACTGATTTTGTTGCTTTTTGTGACAAAATCGGCTGTCACTAAAGCCTTGTTTTTTGGTAGTGATAACGAAGAGCCTGACGAAGAGCGACGTCAACGGCTCGTCGAGGCTGCTTCTCCCGAGAAAACTCGTACTGGACCATATCCTCGTTTATCTCGATAATGTCGAAGTGGCCGCCGTTTACGAAGAAGAAGGACTAGAGGTTACTGTGCTGGATGTAGATACAGATACACACCATATCTTAGCTTTTAAGCTGTGGTCAAGTTCTAAATCTTACGTGCTCGCTAAGAATTGGAGTTCGGATTTCGTCCGCAGGAGGGGGCTGTCGGAGAATCGAGAAATCGGAATACGATGGGATCGGCGACCGGGGTCTAGATCACTAGAGTTCACCCTCTTCGACTGATTTTTTCGAATATATTTTCAGGGGTTTAATTAGCCGAAATACCCCCGACTTGGGGTTATTTCGGCTAAGTATTAGAGAGTTGGGGCATCTTTGTAATAGTTTATATAGTTTAGACGCTCATTTTTTATTTCCATTATAGGGGTACTATTTTCTCTTATTGTTAGGCCCACAAGGTTTTAAAAGCTCCCAATTTGCCTATTTTAATGAAATAATAAAATCTTTTGGCCAAAAAGAAGTTAATTCTCTTAAAAAATAAAACGTCAGCTCGTTGAATATCTTTGCTACTGAAGTTTTTTTTTCTTTTTTTTTTTTTTTTTTTTTTTTTTTTTTATGAATAATCGTATGAGTTCTTATTTTTTTGTTTTGTTTAATTGTGCATGCACATTGTCTTTGATTGATTAAGAATGCAGTGACATGAAGGGTGTTAAGAAGAGCTTATAACATACTTAGGAATTTATAAGGTTTTCTAATGTGTTTGGCAAAAAAAAATAATGAGCAAATAAGAATTTAAAAAAAAATAATATATTCACTCCACCAATTTATCAACTCTTAAAACAACTTGTTAGTTATATAAATTTTATAATTTAGATTAGCCAAACGGGCCCTTAAAACCGTCAACGACTCGACATACAAGATTTTAAGAATAAAAGATAAAAAATGGTACATTACAATCACCTCCCTTAGGTATTGTCAAATTTTGAAAAAATTCCTCATGTTTATAAATCTTCGTACATTTCTATCATTGCAGTTTCAAATTTAGTGGAATCTTCTAGATTATATGCAATATCTTCAATTTTGTACCCGGTTTTATTCTATTGAAGCTCCATATTTCGAAGTTAGATGATCATAAGATGTGTTTTTTTGCTTGTATATATCAGATTGTGGTGCATAACTGAAACTGTATTTTTGCACAAAACAAGTACAAACTAGAGAACATTCCACGGAATCTAGATGATTATGTTAAATTTGACACCATATGGACGGAAATGTAAGAAGATTCATAGTTGAGGGACAGATGTAATTATCCAAACATGAGGGGTATTTTCATAATTTAACCATACCTTAGGGATGTGGTTGTAATTTACCCAAGATAAAAAATATAAATATAAATTTGAAATTAAACTTGACATACAAGAGTTCAAATATATTCGAGAACGCCAAATCTTGAAACTTAACATACAAGATTTTCAAATATATTCAAGATTAATTCCTTAATTATAATAGGACTCGTATTAATTAATTTTCCTAATTTAAATAATTAAGAATCATACTAATAACTGGTTTCCTTATTATAACAGGACTTCAACTCCCAATTTTCCTATATAATAATATTCTCACGTCCAAATAGATTATATTATGAATGAAAACACAAAATTAAATAGATAAACAAAATAAATTTAAAATTCTGTTCATATATTTTGACATGGCTTCGTCTGGTGCAGTAGAGAAAGAGAGAGAAACTTCGTCTGCAGGTATGAATGATATCGAACACACTATCACAGCAATCAAGAATCTGAGTTTGGACGACGACTACGAAAGCAGCAGCAGCGGAACAAGAACAAACAAGGGCAAAAGAAAGATGCCCGATGAATTCAACGACGACGAAGATGACGATTTCTTCAAAGACTACTATTCAGACGAGTATCTCTTAAGGCAGGCCGAATCCGAAAAAGAAAAAGAAAAGAGGCTCTCGGAAGAAATCGAGGAATCTTTAATTACTAAGCTGAGTCGTATGGCGATAGTGTCGTCGACACCTCAGATGAAGAAGAAGACGAGGAAGGTGGCGGAATCGGATGATTGCGGGAAAGTATTAGCGAAAATAGAGGAAGCGATAAAGAGAAGGGAGTGCGTGAGGGTTTTGATAAGGGTGGTGTTGGTGGTGATGAAAACCCTAGTTCAAGAATGTATTTTGCCTTATTTTTGGAATGTGATTAACATATTACTGTGCAGCTATGTTGGATATGCATCCAGATAGATTATGAATGACGTGGCATCTGATTTCGTACGACGAGTCGAGCTTTCGTGATTGCGCCGCACTCGATTTTCTCATCGAGTTGTGCCGTATTTTCTTTTCGTTACAAAAAAAAAAAAAAAACATGTATAACAAATATAGTTAGTTAGGGTTTGAAGGATGTATTTGTTTATTCTTTGTTATAGTTTATTTGAATAAAGTTTTGAGTTTTTCTTGTTATATATATATCGTTTCTCCCTTCTACTTGAACTATGGTGATGAACTGAATATATGATTTGTGATTACTAATGAAAGTTTGACGCCCTTAGCTTATTTAAACGGCGTCGTTAAGGATGGGCATTGTTAGGTTTAATTTAATTGATACAATAATTATAGAGATACAATTTGAAGTAGGAGTGGTACAATTTCAAATTAATTATATAGTTATCATCATGCAATGATTTTAAATACAGTGTACAGTTCATATTCACACGTCCAAAGAAGAAGAAAAGAAAAGGGGAAATCTCGCCTTGTACTTTGGTTCCGTATCACTTTATTCCCTTCTTTCTTCGATTGTATCGATTTACCCATTTGCACTTAAAAAAATTGTTTTAATATGGTCCTTATTGTTACTTGTCAGACATTTGACTTTAATATCGTTTGCTCTACGCTCTGAAATTACAAAAACATCACCCTTCTCAGTTTAAATAATTATTAAAAAAAATAAAATAAATAATTCAAGACAACAAGAAAACATAGTACACGACGGATTTTTTTTAATAATTATTTAAACTTGGAGGATTGGTCTTTTTTTAATTTTCAGACCTTAGATCAAACAGTGTTAATGTCAAAGATCCGAAAACTAACGGCGATGGCCGCATTGAGTCAATTTTTCAAGTGCAAGGGGACAAATCGATACAATCGATAATAGAAGAGGATAAAGTGATATCGAACCAAAGTAATGGGTAAATTGGAATTCACCCAAAAAAAAAAAAAATTAATCCCTAAAAAATAATAATACAATATTGATATGCCTATTAGTCCAGCCTAATAGATCCATATGTACTGGGCCACATGCCCAGTTTAATAGTTATTTCTACGGAGGCTCAATCACATTCAAATAAGGTTGAGTCCGATTAATTGATCTCGGCACAATCAATAAAGTATAAATAGAACTTAAATTCATTTAATTAAGTTACGTTTTTATTATTCTATCAATTCTTCAATTCGAATTCTCTCTACGATTACCAACTATCCACACTTCACTCTGCATAACTAAAAAAAAGTAGTATTTCAAGACCATCTAACTCATGAGTCATGTAACCTACTTTGCTCTCCCAACTTTTTCTAATCCAATTTATATTTAACATCATCAAATATATAAACCCAATGATAGAAGTAAATATAAAAATATAATTTCAAGTCAAAAGAGACCAAACATGCAAAATCCAACACCGGCGTCGGTAGTGGTCTCTCCATAAATAAAATACATACATTGTGCCACGTGCATTAATTGTACATCTACTCTTATTTATAATATTTAATTCACTCTGCTTTACTAAAAAAAAAGTCAATTATTATCAACTCTCTCTCTCTCTCCTCTGAAACTTTCGTCTATTTGACTTTCTACCTGCAACATTTATATATATATATATATATATGTATATGCATTGCTGTATATTGTAGAGATCAAATTGAGTTCTGAGCGATATATTCTTGATCGAACATATACATACATATATATGGAAGAAAAAATATTATATAATAATAAAGAAGTTGAGATCCCATGTTATTTTCTTTGTCCGATTTCCATGGATCTTATGAAAGATCCGGTTACACTCTCAACCGGTATTACATACGACAGACTCAACATCCAGAAATGGCTTTTCTCCTCCTCCTCCGCCGCCGCATGCATGTATGTATGCCCCGTCACCAGACAACCACTTTCCGACGAAGAAGACGGCGGCCGCCGCCTCACCCCAAACCACACCCTCCGCCGCATGATCCAGGCCTGGTGCACCCTCAACTCCTTCGAAAGAATCCCCACCCCAAAACCCGCCGCCGCCGCCGCCGACAAGTCCCAGATCCTTAACCTCCTCGAACAAGCCAAGAACTCAACGACGAACCGACAGCTGATCAGCTGCCTCCGGAGAATCGGAACATCACTCGCCGCCGGAAACGTGAGCTGCCGGAATAACTTACATTTCGGCGGCGGAGTTGACTTTCTACTCTCCGTTGTACGGAAAAACGAAGACCCGATTTCCACGGAGGAAGCGTTGAAGATTCTTCAGCAAATGGAGCTTTCCGATTCGGATCTGAAGCTCTTCTTCTCCGACAACGCACGGATCTTGAACCCGTTAATCAGATTACTCGAATCCGGTAACTCCGAAAACCGCGGCAAAGCCATAACCCTGTTATACTCCGCATTCTGCGTAGCCGACCCGGCCCATCTAATCGGATCCAAACCCGAGGTATTCACCCAAACGGTAAAGATTCTCCGCGACAGAATCTCCGAGCCAGCAACCAAAGCCGCGCTCAAGCTGCTATTAGAACTATCTCCATGGGGAAAAAACCGGATCAAGGCAGTCAAATACGGCGCCGTTTCGGCCCTTGTCGAGTTGCTTCTTCATCAAACGGGCGACGAGTGCAGACGGGTTTGCGAACTCACCCTCGTGGTGCTGGAACAGCTCTGCGGCTGCGCGGAGGGCCGAGCCGAGCTGGTGAGCCACGGAGCCGGACTGGCCGTCGTCTCGAAGAAAATACTTAGGGTTTCGCACGTGGCGAGCGATAGGGCTGTGAGGGTTATCGGTTCGGTTTCGAAGTATTCGGCGAATAATACTAGGGTTCTTCGGGAAATGCTGAAAGTTGGGGTTGTCTCTAAGCTGTGTTTGGTTGTGCAAGCTGAGTCGACTCAGAAGAAAACTAAAGAGAGGGCTGAGGAGATTCTGAGATTGCATTCTAGGGTTTGGAGGTGTTCTTCGTGTATACCTCCTCATTTGCTTTCTTCTTATCCATCTTCTTGATTAATTTTTTTCCCCCCAAAATTTCTCACTTCTTGTAGTTCTAATTCTCAAAATTCATTTTTCACACCCAAATACTATTGGCATATTTTCTTGGAACCACTTGTCGATGCAGTTGCAGTGCTAGTAATAAATTAAAAAAGTTGTCCAAGTAAGTAATGATCAAATCAAAACATACTTATTTATATGTATCATATGAATGTAACGGTAAAAAAATAATTACTACACCTTATAAACTAATAATGTTAGAGATTTGAGAGTTGGCCGTTAAATCAATGAGCTATTTTGTCACATTTTCTAATACAAGGGAGTATATATGATACTGATGATATATAGTATATAGATACAATCTCTATTTACCCCTTAATTTTGAAAAAGTTCCTATGTTCAGAAGACCATGCATCAATTTATTTTTATTTTTGCATATTACTTATTGAAATATGTTACTTGTTATATCTATTACTGAATTTATTTGAACTTGAATTCAAAATGTTTGTAGGGGCAACCCGCAGATTAATTGTGGAGGATAATCCTTTGGTAGACTTTGCCGAGCTTCCCGATAAATTGTCAAGACCTTCACTATATATTGCAACATTTTAAGTGGAACTGTTAAAGGGGCTTTTTGAGATGGTAAGTTGTCTCCCATTTATTAATTTTATGAATTGTTAGAGGAGCTTTTGAGGTGCTTCTTCATGAATATCTTATTAAAGTACATAATTTGTATCATAATCTTATGATTTATGTTTTTTCCTACGCTCCTATTGAGATGCTTCCTGGTTGTGGCTAACATATTAATGTCAAAACATCTTATATGATAATTCAAAATATAATATTTGCTGAAAGTTTAAGATGTATGCTTCATAAGTACAATTTATGAGTTCATCAGCTCCTTCTGTTACAAAGATCGATTTTTTTTTCCCTTTCTCTTAAGATCCAATAAGCTCCTTTAGTTTGATGTTTATGAGTTTTCAGTGAATTACACATCCCTAATATATCCTTGTCTGGAACTTAGGATCCCTTCTGCTCTAATTGTCATTTACCTATTGCAACTATTTAAGGAATTAAGCTTTAAGGGCAAAACAAGGAGAGGAACAAGAGAAAATTTTGGTAGCAAGGTAATTGATCGTCTAAGATACTAGTGGAGGCTTTAGTGTGTGCTCAAGATTGGTTTGAGAAGCGGTCCTCTAGTTGATGTTGAAGAAGACCTCTATAAGCTCTTATCAATAGAAAAGAGTTTGCATTCGTCTTCAATTTTATAATACTTTTACTTTGATACAGTTATTTCTAAATGTTAATATTTTTTTATTGTTTTTTCATTGTAGATTTCAATGCATTGAAGGTTAACGATTGAGCAAAATTGGGGAGTGATTCTGTGTGGATGTCCTCTCGTTTTTTTTGTTTGGATGTATATTAGGTGTTGTATTGTTGGTATTTTGAACCTAGGCATGCTTGTTCCCTTTTGTTTCTTTTTTTATAATTTAATTTCATCAAGAAAGCAGGCCTTGTGTTTGTTGTTGATGTTATTAGTATTATTCTACTGTCTATCTATATGATGAAGAAGATCGGGTTTTTTTTTTTATTAATATTATTCATTCAGTGATATATTTTGAAAAAAAAAATTGGAAAATCTGAATATTCCGAATTTTTTTCGAAAATATTCCGAAAATGAAAAATTCCGATTTTCCAAAATTTCCGAAAAAATCGGAATCGGAATCCATTTTTTAAATCCGAAAAAAAATCGGAATCGGAATCAGAATGGCTAATTGACTTCCGAAAAAAATCGGAAATATTCCGAAAGGCCTAAATCCGATCCGATCCGTCCGATTCACACCCCTACTTCTAGCCAATCAGCTTCGAGCTGCAGAAGATTCCATGCAGAACACTTTGACTAGCTTTAAACTATTCCATCCAGTTGAATAATTTCAGTTCAAATTTGCAAAATTTTCTTAGATCTTGATTAAATATAATATAATTCTATGACCATGTACTCACATTTAGTCGTTGATATGAATTTGCTGCAATTGAAATCCGGTTCAATAATATAAATAAACTTAAATAAATGTGACAACTTTATAACTAATATTGGGATTATTAGTGGGAAGTGAGAACCTCTTACTCGTGAGGATAAATGATGGATTTCACTCCTTTTCAAATATTAGCATGATCACCTAATTTGATTGATTAAATAAATATTTAGCAAAATTTATTATAATATGTCCAAATTTACCCCTATCAAATAATATATTATTTGCCCCGTTAATCAAAACCCTAACACATCATTCTTCCTCAACATTCATTCTTATAATCCCATCAACGTTGCTCCCTCCATCATGGAGGAAGTAAGGCGGTCTTCGCCCTTGGAATCCTCTCATCAAAGGCGGCACTAGGGGTTTTCACTAGGAAGAGTGCTGACGGGGCTGTGCAGTGGCGCTGGGTTAATAGTGCGTCCGAGATTTCAATAGAGGGCACCATCAACATCGTTTTCGTTGTTGTTGCTTGCAATTAGGGATGTGCGCGGGTTATAAATCCGCGGGTTCTAGCAAAACCCGCCCCCGTTCCGTCAACCAACAGTTCTTTTTAAGGAACCAAACTTATGAGTTTTCGACGGGTTTAGGATAGACGGGTTTATTGCGTGTTTAAAGTAGAACCCAACCTTCACGGGTCGAAACCATCGTAATTTAAAAAAGTTATTTTCTTTAATAATATATAAGTTTTACGCGAAATTATTTAGAAATTAAAATGAATGACCAAGCTTAAAATTTTAAATTGAAACGAACTAGAATAGCATCAGTGATAAATGTCATGAGTAAATCAAAATTAATATGTTTTAACCATAAATCCAAAAAAAGAGTAACTAAATTCAAACCGTAATAAGACAAGATTTAAAATAAAATAGCTAACCATAGACAAAACGAGATGATGTCGTCGCTATAGATATAAGTTTTGAATATTTTATTCATGCATTATATTAATTTATTATACTACATAAACAAAACGACGTTGTTTTGTATAGTGGGGCGGAACAGGTTTTACGGGTATTAAAGTTTTTTGAACCCATCTCCAACCCAAACCTGCGGATCTTGTCCATTTCAGGACCCAATCCTATAAATGGATCTATCCATTCGATTCTAGCGGGGCAAATAATGTATTCAACTTGCTCACCCCTACTTGCAATGGTATTTTATTTCTTCACTAGTGCACATAATTAATGTATATGTTTCAAACAATGTATGTAGGTGTTATATAATTAGCATAATTAATCAACCTTATATCCGTGTGTGTGTATATATATATATAACAACTAATTAACTATCTAGGGTTCATGGATAAAAGATAAACTTGTATACAAGGCGAATTAGTCCAAGCATTGGAATGCAGCCTCAAAATCTGCCTCGCTTTCTTCTTCAAATAACCGGCGCAATCCGCCTGAAGCACCATGCACATCTTCGACACCGCCCCCACCCTCAGCATCTCCGCCACCACCTCCCTCGTCGCCGAGAATCTCGCTATCGACTCAAACACGTACATCGCCCTGTCATCCACCGCCGGTGAAACCCTCAGCAGCCTCTTCGCCGCCACCGCAATCCCGCCCGCGTGCCTCAGAAACTCCTGCCTCCCGTCCGCGCACGAGCACAGCTCCGCCAGCAGGCAGAACACCAACTCACTGATTCTCTTCTCCTCCGCCGTACCGCCGCCCCCGCCAATTTCAACCTCCACCGCCGCGAAAACTCCGCCTGCTTCCACTATTCTCGTCCTGTTTCTCCCCGACGTACACGTCTGTATCAAAACATGCAGCGCGGCTTTGATCACGTCAACTTGCAAACAATTCCGTCGCAAAACTTTCACAATTTCTTCGAAGAAATCGAGCTCCAAATTAGCAAGCAAATTCGAGCTAGCAATTTCCATCACATTTTTCAAGACCATAAGCGCGTGGGTTTTCGCTGAATTCCCGACATCGGCGTTTCTCAAAACCCACAGTACGGATTCGACGAAATCTAGGTTGTCTTCAACAAGATTCTTGTTTTCGTCACTGTTTCTCCACGTAAGCTGGAGAATCCTGAATGCTTCTTCAACACCCACATAATTAATATTAATATTATTATTATAATCACCTCGTGATCTGAAGCATCTCAGAACGAACAGAATCATGGCTTTCGCAACGCCGGCCTCTGCCATGCATTCCCGGTTCTTCACACTTTCTCCGGCGAGTTCGTCCAATTTCTTCAGAGAAGTCAACACATTCCGATTTACATCTCGTAAGAGTTTGATGACTGATGCCCGGTGAAGTGGTGATTTCGGGGTAGGGATTCGATCGACGCCGTTGTTAGCGTTGGCTACGCACCAAGCCTGGATCAGCCGCCGGAGCATGTGGTTCGGGGTCAACTCCGAGCCAGGAGTCAACGCCTGCTTCGTGACAGGACAGTATACCACGGCGGCGGTGGCAGAGGAGGAGGAGATCCATTGTTGGATGGTGTCACGGTCGTAGGTGATGCCGGTGGCGGTGGTGACGGGGTCTTTCATTATTTGGAGTGATATGGGGCAGACAAAGTATTGAGGGATTTCAATTTCATCCATTTTTTTTAAAAAATATTATATTGTGTGACAAATGCTAATTTAATTTGTCCCACAAATATTTATAGAAAAAATGCAACTCGAGAGTCTGAGGGTAGGGATAACAATTTAACCCGCTCTACTAGGTATCTGTCCCGTCCAGTTAGCTTATTGGGCGGGTACGGGGTTTTGAAAATTTCACTCGTAATGGGTACGGATTTTGAAAATACGCACCCTTACTGGTCCCATTTATATATTTTTTTATTTTGTAAAATACTCATTTTTAGATATATTTTAATTAAATATATTATAAATTTAAAAAAAAATATAATTTTTTTCACGGGTTTAATAAAATCAAACTCGGAACGATTACGGAGATATGTGAGTGAATTTTTTTGCTAGCGTGACGGATGCAGATTTTTCAAACCCGACCTTTACCCGCTCGATGGCCATCCCTATTCCGAGAGGAGTAAAGATTGGTCTTCTTTTACGAAAATGGTAAGAGAAAGCGGCTAATTTGTTTGAATGGGAATTGTATAGAAAAGGAAAGTCAACCAAAAGGAAAATTCTAGTAGTTTATTTATTTATTATTTATTTTTTATTTATTTATTTTCTTCTTTTTCTTTTAGGTCTTACAATGTATCTTAAACTAATGAAATTTTAGTTGGGCCAATTGCTTGTTTTACCAGTCGTACATTTTTTTCCCATGCAAAAAAATGGTCAACCCACTACTAGGGCAAAAACTCACATTGGGGTTTGACTTTCCGGATAGGGCAGGTGGCAGGCACAGATTGGTGAAGCTCAACTCAGTGTATCATGCATTACTACTAAATGGTACCTTGCCAAAATGTGAAGATAAATTAATAACCTCGTTAAAATAATATATTTTTTTGTCCCGATTCAATGGCAACGTGTTAAAAAGTATTTTGTTAAATTAATATTTCACTAAATTAATAGAACTTAGCTAGTCCCGACTTTATTAATTTATAGAGGTTTACTGTGGTTATGGAAAACTAGGGTCCTTCAATCGGCACTAAATCAACCGAATTGAATCGAAACGAAAATTCCATCACAATTTTCTCACACAAAAATCTCCTTCAACACTGAAATGTTTAAGAATTCATTTCAAAATCTGCTGTAAATGTTAACAAAATGTACAACGCACCTCTCACTAGCTTATAGGCCAATCAATGTAGTTTTATTATTAAAAAAAGACGAAGAAAAAAATTACATGCAAAGTTTTTCTACTTCGATATTTTTTTATCTTGATTATCAGAATCATCATCACCCCAAGCATCATCCCTCAAATTTTGTCTCGAAACAATCCGATTTTTCCTGGCTTCTTCTTGTTTCCTCAGTTCTGATGCTCCAAAACTCGAAGAAGGCAATTTTATTCCCATCGAGTTTGCAATCAATCTTTGAGCAGCTCTCGCTGATGTCTGAGGCCTTTGACGAGGTGGCTCCAATTCTGTTAATAATCACAAATTTAGAAACCAATTCGTCAAACGCCACAAGAAAATCGAGAATCAATAAACAAGAAAATCAAGAATCAATAAACGCTCTCTCTATAATTCACTCGATTCGCGGGTGTTTGGAATATTTAAAAACAGAATCTGGAAAGAAAAAAAAAAGTTGCTACAAAATTCTCAGTTGTGTTGGCAATATGTATCATAGCTTCGTGAAATAGAGACGAGAAATTTCATATCTTACCCTTGGGTGGAATTGAGTCCAAAAGTTCGTCGTCCTCAGTAAGTACACGAACTGTATATGGCCATTGGATGGAGTTACTTGCCTCGAGAGCTATATCAAGAAATGGAAAATTTTTAACTCGACTGATAGTGTACTACATACTTCTTCTGAAACTTAATCTTAGAAAGTCGAGTATTGTAGCACTAATACAAGTAAATTACAAAAAAACAGAGCAAGCTACTCCATATATATATACTATTTGATCCAAGAAAAGCATTAATTAGGTAAGAAAATGTCATTACCAATAGACGGAGTTCTAAACACTGCAAGCGAAGTTGTATCGTTCAACCAACGAATCACAAAGGTATCTTTGAATTTCTTCAGCAACTTCTCTAGGGCAAGTGTATTAGTGCTCAGTGGCATGTCCGCAATAACAAGAACGTGGTGCGTACCGTATATTACTGAAATCACAAATACAGTAAACTCTGTCATTAAATATATTGGATTAGCATAGAATAAACCCGTAAAATATTTGCACATACTAAATTACCAACAAAAGATAAAGATACCCTTTTCATTCAATATCAATTTTAATGTGTTATAAAAGAGTTTGAATGCTCAAATGATGCTTCAAGACGTACATTTTCTTTTTACCGTTTCTTCAGTTTGATCTATAGAATTATCTTCTTCAGAGTTGTCATCATCAATGAGAGGTTTATGGGACTGGCTGTCGTCACTGTATAGACCATGTTTCTTGTAAGCGAATGTTCCCCTTCCTCGTCTTTTGATGCTTTGACTTTGACTTTGACTTTGACTTTGACTTTGACTTTCTTGGTCTTCCAGGGAGAGTTTCGATACACATGGCAAAGATTGTGGGGAAAGTAATTCCTCTGGAGCACGATCTGCCATAGCTTCCCAGTCTGCAAATTAGCACAACATTAGCTCTAATTTCAACCGTGATATAAATAGTGGGAAAACTTACATTAGAGAGAGACAGAGAGATACAAACTATAGCACGGCATTTGAACTGCTCAAATATATGGACATTCATCATACATCTTTAGCATCAAGAAAACCAATATATGGACATTCAGACAGCACTTTCCCAAATTTACGCAAGTGAAACACTATTCGCCTAATTTTCTTTATCATTTTACACACCAATACGAACTCATGGGTTGACAAAATTATATCAGAGAAAGGGTTTTATATCTAAGGGGCAGGGGAAATTTGAATTTTAAAAAATCCATGTTAAATACCAAGAAAAGAAACGACGTAAACGTTACATTCGGATGAAAACATTTGGGGGAATGCTTTTAAATGACTATATATAAAACTGAATTATGAATCTACCACTAGAACTCAAAGGATAATTTGAGAATGAGAACTAAGGATTTCGGAATTCTTGTTAATGGGTTCATCTAAACTAATGAGCACTAAGGAGAAATATGAATTTCCAAATGAATTACACAATCATTCGCATTTGTCTTTGCAATTATACTTACAAACTCACCTTATTACAACATAACGTTTTATTGAAATTTTACGTAAATTTAACGCAAGCCAAGGAGGAAACCGTTCAAAGCTACTGCGTATGAATATGTAATACGAACTACAAGATTAAAAACAAATACAATAAAAAGATCTAAAATGGATTTTGCTAGATAGATAATCAACAAACTCAAATTTAAAAACCTGAAAAATTCAAATAGTTTTTTTTTTTCCGATACGCCCCAAAACATCAACCAACCACAAAGGGACACTCGCTCTCAGCAGAATCTAATCAGAGTAGGGAAAATATGTACAGATAAAATACGAACCAAATAAAACGAACACCTTCTATATACTATTTTTTCAAGGAGGAATCAAACAAGATTAACTCGAACTAGCAAGCAGATATTTCATATATCAAATAAATCGAGACTAACTTTCGTAAATTATCATCGGTAAACAAAAAAAAAAGTAAATATTAAACGAAGCTATATACCGTCATCTGGACAGCTCTCATGTGGGAAGCCATCACTATTCAAACCGCCTTCTGAACAAATACAAGTAACAATTTAGTTCTTGAGATAAAAGAATGGATGTTTTTTAATAAGGAAATAAAAAAAAAATTAAAAAAAAAAGTTGGAGAAGAAAAAATAAACCATGCGCTGCAATTCCACCAGCAGTAGTATCTTCCTTCTTTGGAATCGGAGCGTCGGCGAATTCATCGGAAACCGATTCCTTTTCCATCTGTAAACCCCTGAATATCCAAGATTCAACCAGAGTTAAGTGACGCCCAATCAATCACAACACTAAATCGCAGGAAAAAAATTGATTTATGCTCGTATTTGAATTTCATTTACCTCAAATTACAACCAGTAAATGTAAGCTCGACAACCCCAAATTGGAGGTTTGAAACCCTATAGCAACAGATGTATGAAGTAATCCCTAAATCAGGTTAAATGGAGTAATCCCCAAATTCTGGAGGGTTTTTTCGACTTAGGGATTATGAATTATGATTAATGAATCATTCGCACCCTTTTATACTTTTTTTTTGGCAGTTCTAGTTTCCCTCTTTCAATTGTATTTCACTCGTTTATAAATAAATTTATATTTTTGTTTTTATTTTTGTTATTGTTTTTTTTTTTTTTTTAATGCTATTGTATCTTAATTGTCTCATAATTCATAAATTTTAAATGTTCAAGGTTGGGATTTCTAAATTTCATGGAGGAAATAACGATTAACATAATTTTGCTGAACCTTCATTTTAATTTTTAATTTTTAATTTTTTTTTAATTATTATTATTACTAATAATAATAATTTCATTTGTAATCCTTTCTTTTTAGATTAATTTCATTTGTGATCTGATAGTGATAGCTTTCATTTTCTCAGAATATTGAGCTAGATTACAATTTGGGCAGGCTTTTAATATGTGAGGAATGTTACTATGGACCTGCGGCGGCATCGTTTTCAACGCAACCCGGTATTTCCGTAATTTGTAATCCTGAATTTTCTTTTCAAGATTACGGTAATATTTCTTCTTCCGTTACAACCGAAGCTCTTCATATACGGCCCTTTTTTTCCAGTTCGGGACAATGTGCATTTGCTTGCGAACAAAACGATGAATGACAATTATGTTAACATCGTCGGAGAAGGGTAAGCAATTTAATGAAGCCTAATTTTGTCGTGTTTACTTTGAAATTTTTTGCTTAAACGTAATTTAATTTTTTTTTTATTTTTCCGATTTTACTTTTATCAGATCGGTCGGAGATGCTGCATTTACGGGAATCCATCAATGGGTGCAATCCGAGAACTGTTATAGAGAAGCCGATCCACCAGAGGTACATTAATTTCTTTAAAAGAGTAAAGTTGCCATTAAAAACGATGCTCGTTTTCGGTATTTTTTAATTGCAATAACATTAAATCGATCCCTTTGTTTATTTTGTTAAATGCCGGTTTCGCCTCGAAAAATTATGAAAAAAATGTGATTCTTTTCGGAACTTCTAATATTCTGCAGGTAAAAAGATTTTTTTTTTTTTTTTATAATTTATGTGATCAACATTTTCTTGTTTACCGAACGCTTACATTTTGCACTCGATCAGACGGTTACAGTTATTCCCGTTCCTCATCATGGTGAAGTTCAATTCGGTTCATCATCGACCGTAAGTTGTTTTTATTTCATTATTCATTTAGAATTTTAGCAATTTTCGCTGATGGTAATTATTATTTACTTGTCCTAGATTGAGGAGAACCCCGGTTTCGTGAACGATGTAGTGCCATTAGTAGTAATTCCGGCAGGGTCATTAGCAAAAAATCCCGATCCAATATACCCTGTATATTCTACTCCCGAGGAGTTGCCCTCATCGTCTTTCGTACCAAACATTTTTAACTATGTGGAAAGCAGTTCGTATACTTTGAGCCATGTCGGTCAACTCGATTTGACTTCCAAGTACTCGTCTAAAATGGAGACTTCTTTCTCCGATTCTTTTAATCACATAAACGATATGTCCGCGAAAATCGAGTTTGAGCATGTGAAAAATGGTGAATATATCCCCGGTTTTGTTGAAGAAGACGGCATAAAGAAGACGATTGATGGTGGGAATAATAATCCAGTAAATTATAACATAATTAATTACGACGATGCTGATTTATACGACATATTGAATAGTTGCTCGAATATTCTTTCGAGCAATGCGTCGGCTACGAACACTCGTAACTTGGATAAGAAGAATAACTCTCCATCTACACAAGAAAACTTGAATACCGGGTTTAGGGTTTCCGATCATGTGAAGGGGGAGTTATCGGGAATTCCAAAATATACGGCTAATGCAGGGGGGTCGAAGAACGGTCCTTGTAACGAAGATTCCGGAACCTTCTCTCGGAATAGCTCCATTTACGACTCGCGGGTCGAAAACGGCAGTAACTTGAACCAGAATTACGGTTCTGCCACCGGGTATTCGGATACATCACGTGAAACAAACGAAGCAAAGCGAAAGAGGCTTAAACCGTGTGAGAATCCGAGGCCTAGGCCGAAAGACCGTCAAATGATCCAAGACCGTGTGAAGGAGTTGAGGGAGATTGTGCCAAACGGCGAGAAGGTGGTTCGACAGTTATATATTTATATATTCTTTTTTTTTGTAAATTTATTTTCTTGATTTTGTCGAAAAGGGTTATTGGGTTATTCAGTACTCTGTTTTTTCGGTCAACAGTATAGCATCGATGCTCTGCTGGAACGAACAATCAAACATATGCTTTTCTTGCAAAGCATTGTGAAGCATGCAGACGAGCTTACGAAAGACAATGTTGGAGCAACATGGGCGTACGAAGTACGATCGCAATCTACGGTCTGCCCTATCGTAGTCGAGGATCTTAATCAGCCTCGTCAAATGCTAATCGAGGTTATTTCGTTTAAACATTATTACATGCTCATACACATTTAAAAAAAATTAATTTTTTTTATTCCGATTACGCCAGATGCTCTGTGAAGAAAGAGGAATATTTTTAGAAATAGCAGACATAATTAGAGGACTCGGGTTAACTATTTTAAAGGGGCTCATCGAAACTCGAGACGACAAGATTTGGGCACACTTTATCGTCGAGGTGATCTTTTTTTTTTACGAGCGAGTATTTCGGGCGTTTTTTAGTTACTATTGTAATAATCGCTGAATATTGGTGTTGATCGGATTTGTTATATATAACAGGCTAATCGGAACATGACAAAGATCGAAGTGTTTCTCTCACTACTTCACTTATGCGAAAACGGTGTTCCGAAACCCAATAACGTTAACAACGAGAACATTGCGGTTGGATTGTCGTAATTCGTCGTCTATGTTAATCACTTTGCTGTAACTTTTGTATCTAAATTGGTGGGAAAAAAGTGGGTTAGAGAAATAGTTCAACATGTTTGAGAGAGAGAGAGAGAGAGAGAGAGAGAGAGAGAGAGAGAGAGAGAGAGAGAGAGAGAGAGAGAGAGAGAGAGAGAGAGAGAGAGAGAGAGAGAGAGAGAGAGAGAGAGAGAGAGAGAGAGAGATTCTTGATTTACTAAGAGTAGTTTCTTGATGTACTAATGTATAGTTGAGGATGGGGGGTTGTCATAATTAGAACAAATGGTTGTACATTTCACAATTCTTTCTTATTTATGTTAGATTTATGGGCTTTTCTTTGTCTTTAAATTATAATAATAATCTTTTTAATCCCCTTAAATCTTGTTTTTATTGCAATTATGAAGCACTAATTAAGATAAATTAATGGAAATTGAGGTGCATCAACATCAAACACCACTTAGTCTGCTTATGTGTACTCACCTAACTAATCATAGTGGACAAAATGGATTCTTTTGTTTAATCTTTTTACCCTAATGAATGCAAACATGAAGTATTTTCGTATCAAGATTAAGCACGAAAATCCCGTTTTTTTATTTCGCTAATTGCCGCTCGATTTCGTTGTCGTGGGATTCTATGCTATGTATTTCGACTTTTAAAAGGTGGTGAAAGATTTGCACGAAATTGACAGCCTGAAAACAATATTACGTCAAACGGCAAGATTCGATTGCCTGAAAATTTGAACTTGAGGTGCAGATTAATGCCCCTCACACACACACACACATATACATGCAATTTATATGTATATATATTGTGCATTGTGAAAGAATTTGCAGAATTAGGTTGAGCATTGGGTGAGGAGAATTTGTAGGCATCTATGTTGTTTTAATTGCAACAAAATTGAAATTCTATTTCAAGGGTTGTAACACAACTAACTCTTAGAAGAGAAAGTGGGAAAAAAAACCTTTGTTTCAAAGAACATATTCAATGCCAGGAAAACAAAGATATACATACATACATACATACAACTAGCACATATAACATGTAAGAAATCACAAATTAAAAAAAATTGCACGTTCGAGTTTGTGCTTTTCGATATCGACAACTGTGGACATGCATGCATGTAATGTTGATATTTGGACAATATGGTAATATATTCTCTTTCAAGGGTTCAAACACATTTCTCAGTCAAATATTTTTTTTTTTATTTTTTTTTTTATAATTTTTTTAATAACGACGAACATATTCAACACCGATGAAGCAGATTGTTCCATCGATCGATCAAAACTAAAAGCATGTGTAAAATAGATAATCATGTCTGGGACAAGAATCTTTGTTCATTTCATTGCCCCTTTTCCCTATTGGTGTACATTTAGTACACACACGTATAAATTAAATAATACAGTCGTTTATTTCGTATTTTTTTTGGCTAAAAACAAGAACTTATCTTGAAAAAAAGTAGACGATCATACGACACTCCGATCCAAAGCACACTGTAATAATATTCATGGAATACAGTAGAGATTTCGACTACTACGCAGCTATGCGTAACAGTTCATAAAACCACTTGATCCTATATCGACCAAACCAATCTACCATTCTTGGTAAAAAAAAAAATTAAAAATTAAAAAAAATATCAAAAAGAGGAAAAAGTGTAGCTTTATTATTACAGTGAAAGTAATGGCAAGTTGAAATGACATTTTTGACCTTTAGATTGGCCATGTTTGCTCAATTTGGTTGTGGATAACAGATGAACCATCCAAAGTTAGAACCCCACTTAAAATGCATCCTTCTATTTCAACCCCTTCTTTATTTGTACTTGTTTCGAAAAGGGCACCAAATATTTTTTACACGAGAAGGAAAAACGGAACATATTCTTTTCTTTTTTCTTTTTTTTTATATATATTTGTTTTCGTCGATTTTCTCTCCTTATATAAGTCACTGCAAAAACGAACTCTCACTCCAAACCACATTTCATGTTATTATAAAAATATAGTTAATAGCATAAATATCTTTTATTCGACAATGCAAATCGAGTCCGAAAACCTCGATAAAAAAGTAGGCTTTTTTCTTAGTGGATGGCTGTGGATTAAAGGGCTTATAGAAAAGTTTTTTGCCAAACTTCGAGAAATCGCTAAACAAATCGAAAAGACAGCGAAAGACGACCCGAGAAGATTGATCCACTCGTTGAAAGTCGGAGTTGCACTAACGTTAGTCTCGTTGTTTTATTACTGTCAGCCTTTGTACCGCAGCTTCGGTGTTTCTTCAATGTGGGCTGTCATGACTGTGGTCGTCGTCTTCGAATTCTCCGTCGGTAATTACTTAATCCCATCCAAACGAGGCCTTATATTATTTGCATGCATTTTTTTTTAATATTTTTTTTTTCGAAGGCGCGACACTCGGAAAAGGGCTAAACAGAGGAATGGCGACTTTGGTAGCCGGTGGACTCGGCATTGGAGCTCATTACTTAGCTATGGTGGCCGGAAAAACATGCGAGCCGATTCTGATTGGACTGTTTGTCTTCCTGCAAGGTACAATTAGGTACAATTACTTTTTAATTTAATTAATTTCTTAGGATTAATTATTTATTAGTCATATGATGTATTATTGCGCAGCGGTGGCGTCAACGTTTATACGGTTCTTTCCGAAAGTGAAGGCTAGATACGACTACGGGATGTTGATATTCATACTGACGTTTTGTCTAGTCGCTATATCCGGTTTGCGGAGCGACGAGATAATCGAGATTGCTCGGAAAAGGGTGTTGACCATACTCGTCGGTGCGTTGACTTGCGTCGTTGTTTCGGTTTTCATTTACCCCGTGTGGGCTGGTGAAGATCTTCACTTACTTGTTGCTCAACATTTAGACAAACTTGGTCATTTCTTAGAAGGTATGCGCACACACACACACACACACACATATATATATATATATAAATATATAAATATATATAATTGATCAAATGTTTATATGACAGGTTTTGGAGAGAGGTGTTTAAGAACAATTGAGGAATCAGATAATCTTGTTGGATTGAACACTGTTCTTGATTCCAAAAGCAGAGAAGAAATCTTGGTTGGTGGAAAATATATTATTTTATATATATATTATATATGTATATATATAAAAATAATTATTTTGAGTATTGGCAGGCAAATTTTGCAAGATGGGAACCAGGGCATGGAAAATTCATGTACAGGCATCCATGGAAACAGTATTTGAAGATTGCGAGTTTGACCAGGCAGTGTGCCTCTCGAGTTGACTCACTCAACGCCTACCTAAATTCTAAATCTCATGTATGTGTATTAATATGCATCCTATTTTATATTATAAATATATAATTTTATTATAGTCAGAAATACAGTTTTCATCCCTAAGCTTGCATCTATTTCATATTTGGTCCCTCATATTCCCGAAAACACATTTGGTCCCTTCATGTTTCGAAAATTCAACAATTTCAGTCATTTCCGTCAATTTTCCGTTAGTACTAACAGAATCTTTCAATAAATTAACGGAAATGACCAAAACAACTAAATTATTGAAACATGAGGGACTAAATATATTTTGCATGAATATTGGGAGTCAAATGTGAAATCGATGCAAACTTGAAGGACCAAAACTGTAATTTTCTCATTTATTATATTTAATAAATAAAAATTTGTGAAGGCACCGAAAGAAATCCAGGGAATAATATCAAGTATGAGTAGAGAATCAGGGAAAGCACTGAGAGAACTGTCATTGGCAGTTGAAACGATGACCAGGCCGTCACCCTATCCAAACTGCCACGTGTCAAGCCTTAAAGCCGCGTCGAAGAACCTGAATTCGTTACTAAAGTCGGAATTGTGGGGGGAACACGCGAATCTTCTCCAGGTAATACCGGTCGCTGCGGTTGCTTCCCTGCTCGACGATACAGTTACTAGCGTTGAAAAGATTGCTGACGCAGTTGATGAGCTCAGCTCCCTCGCCAATTTCGGAAATGCAATTGGAGGAGAAACTACAGAGGATAAAAGTAGAAACGGCGTCGTTACACTTGTTGGAATTGTAATTGAAGGAAGTGATCAGGTTAAAAAAGGACAATCATCTGGTCTACAGGCTGGTTAGAACAAATGTCGGTGTACATATGTTGTAATAAAATATTGGATTTTGATTATTTTTGTCACATTTTATGAATTATTAGGATAAGATTTCTCTAATTCCTTAATGGCGGAATTTAGAGAATTTATGTATTTTTTAATTAGATTTTGGTTGATGTGCTGTCCGGTAAAGATTTATGGGGAATATTTGATTTCCTGATAAATCAATTACCCAATCATAGGTCTGAAAATTGGAATGAAATTTTTGAATTCGGCTCATTCAAATTTTAAAAAAATCCAATTTGGATTTTTTTTTCTTTCTGATCTCCGAAATTACGATTTCCGTTTTTTCATTTTTTTTTTGGGAACAGAATTAGGAGTTGCATGTAAAATTATCGGAAATTCCAATTTCCTATCCGATTTTAGGTCCGAATATTTTTACTGTTGTTCGTGAATCTTCACGAAACTTTTCGGATAATAACCGACGGAAATTGAAAATTTTAATTTGTCCCAACTTCCATCCATAGTATAAACATATTAAGAAATTCGATTTGGTCCCTCTGCTTATTGCATTTGCGGTTCACTCCACACAACCCATTTATTTATTTATTTATTTGTGGTAAATAGAAATTAAATAGGTAATGTGAATTGTAAAGTACTTATAAAATGAAGCTAAAAGTTCGGTTTGGTATTAGTGTGAGTGTGTGTGTAACTTATCACGTGGTAGATAGATACAGTCATACCAAAATTAAGTGTATTTTTGTTTATTTTCTCTTAAGATACTCTTTTATATAAGGGCTTGCCAAATTTTCACTTACAAAATTACTTTATTATTATTTCACTAATTGTAATTATGGTACAAATTAAACTTGTATCAATTCAAACTCAATTGTACTACATATTTTATTTTGTTTAATCAATTGAATTGTTACATATTAACATTCTCCTTTTACTGAGCGCCCCTTCTCACAGATCGAGAGTGCTTTAGCCCACACGCATTGCACAGAGTCTGCACAACAAATAAAAATATTATAATTTAATTTATAATATTTATAAAAAAAAATAGTATATAAATTTTGTATTACAAAAAATATGAACACGAAAAATCGAAAATCGAAAGAGAAAAAATTACTTTGGGACCATCGGGGCCTTTCCGCCAGACAGGAGTATTCGTAATTCCACATGCATTGCAGACTTTATCTTCGTCTCCAATATGATTGTGCCTCCTAGGTGCAGCCGGAGACGCTGCTCGGTTCACCTAATTATTACATTCATTCCGATATAATTATTAAAAAAAATGATTAAATTAATAATAACTACGTGCCACATAATATTCATAACTGCGAATGTTTTGTGCTCTCAATGTGCATATATTAGTATCAACATCCGTATCGATACTACTTTTGCGCATGATGTGTGCTCTCAGTGTGCATAAAATATCGCAAAGATTCGTTATTTTTAATAAGTATCAAGAGATCATATAATTACGGCATTCGTCTTAGAAAAATATATACGGCACAAGATATAAATTAAATATAACATATGTTGAAAATATTATATATAAATATACCTGTTCAGACGGCTGCTCGTTTGGTGCGGCAAGGTTATCGACTCTTGCATTTTCTTGATAGGGCAGTAATCCCAATCTTAGGGTAAGATCAACATCGATAACGTCTTCGTTGTTCATGTTGTTGTTGTTGTTGTTGTTGTTGTCGTCGATGTTGGCCATTTTGTTCGTTTGAGATATATTTATATATATGTATATACCTTCTGATTTCTAAAATTAAGATAAAATTATTGGTTTCTCTCCCCTACAAAACAAGATAACTAATTAAACAACAAAACGATAAAAAGATCGACAAGAAAACGACAAAACGGAAAAAAATATATATAAAGATAACATAAGTATGTATAATATAACTGGATAGGAAACCAAGTGATCGACGACAAACCTAAGTATATATAACGGACATTCTTTTTATCGACACGTAGATATATCGTTGATCGATCGCACACATAAATAACATAAACATTAAATCCAAGAACACCTCAACTTTAACAAATTAAATCACCCAAGATTCCCAAATCTAAGCATGTATTAAATCCAAGAGCACCTCTATTTTTCACACAATCAACACATAAAACCGGATAACTAAGAATTTAAATATATATAATATATACATATATACTTACAAAAGAATTGATCGAAGAACTCCTACACGGACAACAGTTCTGAAGAAAAGGAGAAGAATATACGATAGAGAAAGAGATATATAACACGAGAAAGAACGATGACTACTACGTACTGCACTATATATTATTTGCTAATTATTCACTATTTTATATATTAATGTATAGAGAGGCGAATATATATATATATATATATATATATATAAATATGAGATGTGATTTGTTGAAAAATTAAACCAGGTGATATAAAGGCAGTTATAATTAAGTTATGGATGAGAGAGAAATTTGTTGAAAGCTGTTCTATATATATATGAATTCTGATATATCTACAGAGTATTTAATATATATATATATAATACCCTGTAGATATATCAGAATTCATGTGAACCATCTTTTTAGGGTTTCATAATTTTCAAATTTTACAACTAACCATGTGTTAAACTTTGTCCCAACATAATTAAGTTTGGTAGTTGATTCGTATATTTATTCTTCTCATTTTAAATATTTTTTTAACTTATAATTTATTTAATTAAAATATATCTATATATATATATATAAACGGGTTGGATATAGGCGCCGGCGTGTAAGGGTTCATATATTCAAAACCCGTACCCGCTATGGGTGAAATTTTTAAAATTCGTATCCGCCCCATTAGCTAACGGGGCAGGGATTACTCGGTAAATTTGGGGCGGATTAAATTGCTATGTGCTAAATCAGCTGAACTAAAACAGAGTATCATCGATTTTATACCTTATGTTGATGCCTTCAAACTTCTTTACATGACCTAATTTTCGCATCCACTCTACCGGAAAAAAAAAAAACGAAAAAATAAAAAGAAAAAGAAAACTTTATATTTCATTAGTAATCATACGAAAAATTACATAATATATTCGATTCACGATAGATCAAGTAGAATCGGAGAAACGATATAACAAGAAAAACTTGAAAGTTTTCAAATAAAACTACATAAACAAAAATCCTTAAAACCCTAACTATGTTTTTTTTTGGTAACGAAAGAAATCTACGGCCAACTATAAGCGTATTTACGTAGTCATATTCCATCATCTAATCGGAGCACAACTTAATGAAAAATCGACTGCAATCACGAACCCTCAGCTCTTCGTACGAAATCAGATGCCACGTCATTCATAATCTATCTGGACGCATGTCCGATATAGCTGCACAATAATATGTTAATAACTTTCCATAAATGAGGCAAAATACATTCTTGAACTAGGGTTTTCATCACCACCAACACCACCCTTATCAAAACCCTCACGCACTCCCTTCTCTTTATCGCTTCCTCGATTTTCGCTAATACTTTCCCGCAATCATCCGATTCCGTCACCTTCCTCGTCTTCTTCTTCGTCTGAGGTGTCGACACTATCGCCATACGACTTAGCTTAGTAATCAAAGATTCCTCGATTTCTTGCGAGAGCCTCTTTTCTTTTTCTTTTTCGGATTCTGCCTGCCTTAAGAGATATTCATCCGAATAGTAGTCTTTGAAGAAATCGTCTTCTTCGTCGTCGTTGAATTCATCGGGCATCTTTCTTTTGCCCTTGTTTGTTGTTGTTCCACTGCTGATGCTTTCGTTGTCGTCCAAACTCAGATTCTTGATTGTTGAGATAGTCTGTTCGATATTCATTCCGGACGACGAAGTTTCTCTCTCTTTCTCTACTGCACCAGACGAAGCCATATTCAAATATGAATCAAGAATATTTATTTTTATTTTATTTTATTTTTGTGTTTTCTCTCCCGGGCGTGAGAATATATATATATATATATAGGAAAATTGGGAGTTGAAGTCCTGTTATAATAAGGAAACCAGTTATTAGTATGAGTCTTATTTAAATTAGGAAAATTAATTAGTATGAGTCCTATTTTAATTAAGGAAATCTTGAATATATTTGAAAATCTTGTATGTCAAGTTTCTAAGATTTGGGCGTTCTCGCATATATATATTTGAAATCTTGTATGTCAAGTTTAATTTCAAATTTATATTTATATTTTTTATCTTGGGTAAATTACAAACAACCCCCTCAGGTATGGTCAAATTACGAAAAAACCCCTCATGTTTGGATAATTACATCTATCCCCTTAACTATAAAATCTTCTTGCATATCCATCCTTATGGCGTCAAATTCAACATAATTATCTAGATTCCGTGGACCATTCTCTAGTTTATACTCGTCTTGTGCAAAAATATAGTTTCTGATGCACCACAATCTGATATATACAAGTCCAAAAAAAACATCCTATGATCATCTAGCTTCAAAATCTGGAGCTCAAATGGGATAAAACGAGTACAAAATTATTGAGAATATTCCATATAATCTAGATTTGAAACCGTAAATGTTGACGTGTAAGAAGATTTATCGTTGAGAGAGGCGGTTATAATTACCCAAACAGGGGGATTTTTCGTAATTTGACCATAATTCAGGGAGGTGGTTGTAATTTAAACTTTTTCTATCTTTTATACTTAAAATCTTGTATGTCAAGTATAACTATTAATTTTAATTTTAATTTTTTTGTGTTTACTTTTTCATTACTTTTGTTAATGGTAACGGGTCTTGAAGTTCTGATCGATTAACTTCCTACTTCCGATTAGTTTACTTCGCACTTCCAATCAGTTAACTTCCGACTTCTAATTTTTATTTCTTCGGCGGTTGGTAGCCTCAACTCCGATCAATTGACTTCCTACTAACGTTCAACTAACTTTAAAATTATTTGATCGTCAAATAATATTTCCGTTTTGTGCATGGAATAAATTACCAGGTATCAAAAAAAATTAATTCCATACACAATAAGATGACTATATATAGTCTATTTGTTCAAAATCATGTTATATAATTTAAAAAAAAAAAAAAAAAAATCAACATCGTCTAGTATATTATAAGATTGATTTTTGTATATATGAAAACTTTTGTTATGGTCGTTGACGATTTTAAGGGCCCCTTTGAGTAAGCTAAATTATACGATTTTATACAATTGATAAATTGTTTTACTCCTTATTTTTTTGTCTAATACATTAGAAAACTTTATAAGCTCCTAAATATTTTATAATAAGTTCTTCTTAACAGCTTATAAACTTAGCCAAACACACCCTCCGAGTCACTCAATTCTTAATTAACCAAAGATAATGTGCAAGCACAATTAAACAAAAAAAAAATAAGTACTCATACGAATAATCATAAAAAAATAAAAACAAACTTCATTAGCAAAGATATTCAACAAGCTGATAAGTTGTTACGTCTTCTTATTTTTAAAGAGAACTATTTTTTTTTTGCCAAAAAAAATTATTATTCCATTAAAATAGGCAAACAGGGACCTTGTTAAAACTCTGTGGGCCTAACAACAAGAAAAAAGAGTATCCCTATAATGGAAAAAAAAAAAATCAACGTCTAAACTATCTAAACTATTACAAAGATGCCCCAACTCTCTAATACTTAGCCGAAATACCCTGGGGGTATTTCGGCTAATTAAACCCCTGAAAATATATTCGAAAAAATCAGTCGAAGAGGGTGAACTCCAGTGATCTAGACCCCGGTCGCCGATCCCATCGTATTCCGATTTCTCGATTCTCCGACAGCCCCCTTCTCCGGACGAAATCCGAACTCCAATTCTTAGCGAGTACGTAAGATTTAGAACTTGACCACAGCTTAAAAGCTAAGATATGGTGTGTATCTGTATCTACATCCAGCACACTAACCTCTAGTCCATCTTCTTCATTAATGGCTGCCAGTTCGACATTATCGAGATGAACAAGGATATGATCTTGTACGAGTTTCCTTGGTAGAAGCAGCCTCGATGAACCGTTGACGTCGCTCTTCGTCAGGCTCTTCGTTATCTCCCAGTAACCATCGGGGAACACCCGTCGTCGTTGAATCGGAGGTCCGATGCGCAATTCGAGAAAAGGGTTGTTGTTGTTGTTGTTGTTGTTGTTGTTGTTGTTGTTATCATCAGGAGGCGGCTCTAGTACAACTTGATCATCGTCACTTTCGATGATAGTCGTCGGAGTATGTGGGCCCCACCACCCTAGAGTAAGTCGAGTCATGTTGTCTTCTTGATCTGGAGGAAGCGGCACCGGTTGTTGTTGTTGTTCGCCGGTGGGGATAATCTTGATGGTCTTGTCGTCGTCATCGTCGAATAGGCCTCGTTTCAGAGAAGTGTTGAATATTATATTAAGACTTGGGATGGAAGAAATAAGGGGTGGTGGTGGTGGTGGTGATGGTGATTCTCTCTCTTTACCAAACGAACAAGGAGCCGCCTTTCGATCATCACGCAGCTGCCTGCCCATGGAATTAAAATTAAAAATTATGAATCTGATGGTTTCTCTCTCTAGATTTTTTCTGTCTGGTTCGTTCGTATGTGTAATGAGGAGAGAGATGGATGATGGAGGATGGTTTAAATAGGAAGAAGACGATGTCTACTACTTCAACAATGATTTGTTTATTACTTCAATTTCATGATTTTTATTTCCAAACTCTTTTCTTCATTGGTTGCGTTGGGATTAAATTACCCCCCAAATAGACTAATTTACCCCCCAAATAAACCTTTAATGCCTTGAGTTAAATAAAAATAAAATTAATGGTGGATTACCAAAGGAGAATTACCAGAAACCCCTCGGGTATCGATATATAATTACTAACAAAACCCTCAAGTTTGTTTTCATCTTACAACATAATTAATTACAAAACCCCATGTATGTAGTTTTAACCTATATATACTAAAGAATTTAGCTGAAAGCCCCTCAATTTTGGATTGACTTGCATAACTTTTTATTTCAAATTTCGGTTTTCTTTCTATTTCAATAATTTTGCAAATCCATTTTTTTAATTTAAAAATCACACATACATATGTATTTCACAATATATATAAACATGCAATTTTCAAATCCCCACAATTCTTATAGGAAAAAAATTATAATTTTGGAACAAGTGTTTTCATATCAATTTTTGAAAGTCATATATTTATGATTCTTCCAAAATCTTCGAAACAATAGTGATTTTTTTTTTTTTGAGTTAATTTTGATCTGATCCATCCAATTTTCATCCATGTCCATACATAGTTATTCGTCGAGAAAGTAATAGGCCAGATATATATATATATATATATATATATATATATATATATATATATATATATATATATATATATATATATATATATATATATATATATATATATATATATATATATATATATATATATATATATAGATATACATATATACAAATATATATATATATATATATATACATATAGATATATATATATAATTATAT